CCTTTTCCATTCATTCAACAAAATTCAGTTTAGAGAAAAAATAATTATTTCAGAAATGAGCAAGGAATATGTAAGCAGCTTTTTTTAAAAGTTATCCTATGTGAATGAGAACATGTAACAAATATAAAATAGGTGTTACTCCAATTTGGCTGCAAAGGTGGAAATGTACTTTAAAATATTATTTAGTTCAAAAGCTCTTATAATACGTGCTGCTTCTTAAGTAGAGTAACCAATAACAGCCCAGTAGAATACATGTTGAACTGTTCCTTCTTCCACATAAATAATTCTGATTGGTTTCTATTGCCTATTTCAATGAAGAATTAGCTTTAAAAGTGCACCTGTGCCCAGACATATAGGCATTAAACTTGTTACATATTCTACAAGTAGTAAAAGAGCTTAAAACAAGCAATCGCTGACCTCTCTAGCAGCTTTTAATGTGAAGCTATTCATTTATTTATTCTCAAAGATCATGAAAGATAACAACAAAGACTCTGGTCTCGTTTCAGCTGGATTCAAAAAGCTTAGGGTCACCATACTTGTTACAATCTTTGTACAATCAGCTTTACATTAAATAAAATGAATATGAACACCTACCGTACCTAATCTAACCAATCATTTTGTCTCCAGTCAGGCAGTCCCTTGCACTACATATTTTTGGAAAGTCTAAAGGAGTTTATACTATTAGATTGTTATGTGTGTGGTGAGCTTTAGAAATATCCGCTGGTTTGCGAGGATCTGTTCTCATAGAAAAAAAAGCTACAATTTCTCTACCTGTGTATTTAAACTATAAAAATTAAATGATGTATATTATGTATAGATACAGAGATGGATGGGGGTTTGTTTAAAAGTGCTTTTCTGCTTGTTTGCAATATATAACTACTTTAGTGTGACTGATGCACAGGTTCACTTTAAGACTAACACGTCTTAATTGAACATCTATGTGGTATGTGTGTTTGAATAAAATCTGGTTTCACAGCCTGTGGCTTTTAAAGTTTCCAGAATGAAGATAGTGTAAAGAATCCATAGGCGTGAATTTCTTGTGAAAGAAGTTTGGCAGCAAATATTTGATAGCTTTTCAGTCTGCACAGTCTCCCTCAAGAATCCACACATGTGGCTTTTAAGCAAGTAACAGTTTTATTCAGCGCATGCTGAAGCGCACAGAGCGCAGAAGTCACCAACTGTCTGCAGAGTCAATAGCAACAGACCTCCAAACTTCGCATGGCCTTCAGATTGGCACAACAACAGTGCGTAGAGAGCTTCATGGAATGGGTTTCCATGGCCGAGCAGCTGCATCCAAGCCTTACATCACAGGACCCACATTCAATGCTCCTCCCTAGAACCCTCAGCTCTCATGCAAACAGTGGGGCGGCTCTTGGGAGGAGTTATGCAAGTATCATAACACCTTCATAGGAGGGAGTCAGATTGGAGAAGTAGCCATTCCTAGACCGACTACATTTGCATGCTAATGCTGTGCCAATGCTCACATATGATGCTGATTCTCCATGATTAAAAGGCCTAGAATCCAATGAATGAAAGAAGTGGGACAGTAAAGAAAGAGCTAGATGATGCTCGAAGCCATAAAATTAGACTTGCTCCTTCTTCCTTCCTACAGCTTCTAAACCACTCTGTGATAAGCTCACAGTGTGCAGTGTAATCAGAGTAAGTCATTTCAGTTTTAAAACTGCAACATTACTAAATCAAGTGGTTTATTGCTAACATTTCTCTTTTTGAACAGTAGAATCCACAACACCAGAGACTACAACTTCGGTAACTACAACACCTCAAACCACTACTACACCTGAGGTCACAACTAGTTCTACTACACCGTGTGTATGTGTATACAAGGGAGTACCATATCCACCAGGTAAAACAGACAGTACAACTAAGCATTTCTTTCTTTTAACTATAAACAGATTATTATATCGCATTTAGCCTTTTGCTACCAAAGCTGTTTTTGCATACTTTGTGCACACATGTTAAAATGCACATTTTAGGCCTGAGTATACTTAACCCCTCTTCCTGCCTTTAAAATATATATATATATATATATATA